TAGTCTGTGCGTATTGTGTGCGTGTTGTTTAAGTGTCTATGTGTGCGTTGTGTGGGCAGGTATTGTGTATGCGTGCGCTCGCATCTGTGTGTGTGTGTGTGACTCAGTGTGTAAGTGTAGTGTGCGGTGTGTTGTGTGTGAGCCTATTTATTGGTGTGTTATCAAACATGGAACCCCAATTTAGGCCCTAATTCAAGTGCTCCTAGCTCTTTCTGGGGCCTAACGGCCAATAGCCTCCAGCCGGTTCAGGGGCTGCTAAGCCACTAAGAAAACACGCTGGATGTTACCCTCTACTGCAAATCCCACGTTTTTCAGGGCAATCTGCATGAACCTGCTTTTCCAAGCTAAATACCTCATTTTTGGTCAGGGGTTGACGTCATACCCTTAAAACGGAGGGTGCTTAGAACAAAAAGGGTGGTCCAACAGCGGAAGTGGTGGTTCTGATTCGAAATTTCCGGTGAGATGTATCAGTCATGATTTTCCTAAAGCTAAAAAGGGTGAATCATGTTTTCATCTTTGAACCGTTTTGGCGAATGGCCAAAATGGTTCAATTGGGAGTTAACCCGTCAAACAAGCTGGCAGCGGCTTGGTATCTTTCAAGTGTGGCGGCTTTATTTGTAGCAAGGGCTGAGCCAAGGTACCGCCTCAGGTATTGAACTTGCCTCGAGATGGAAATCTCCCGTTTGGCTATCACAATGACACCTTTGGTACTTCTAGGGATACACTTCCGAATATTGACCTGGTGGATTCAGGAGAGGGGGTCAACTCCTGAACAACTGATCCGGACTTTCTATAAAATGGGACCCCGTGTTGATCAAATAGGAGCTTTTTAGGTGTGTCTTTTGGAGGACCCCTGCCCGTTTGGCTGGTTTGAAATTTTGGGGGGTCTGATGCCACAGCCAAAGTCACACATGTTGAGAGCAAGCTGCTCAAATGGAGGCTATGGTTGCAAACCTACAGAAGCCTCCGGCTAAAAGAAGTGGGCCCAGCGTCGGTGAACAACTTGTTACCCTTCTCGATTTGTGCGTCCCAATCTGTTTTTGGAGTTCGAACCGCATGATTTCTGGACACCCCCTGTGTGTATATTCTTCAAGCTTAATTACTCTTTCGCCTGGGTTTCATCGGGAAACCATCCACTTCTGGTCAGCCCCTAGGTCGACTCCTGCAAATTTTCGCCCGGGGTGTCCAGCTTTCTCCCCTGGCGACCTGGGCTAGCCCCGCGTCACGGCTGCCCTTGGCCAGCGCGAACTGGACAATGTCCTGAAGGGAATGCAACCGGGAATGCAACCGCCCCGTGGGTCGTGCAAGAAATTGGCGCAAATCCTACGGCCCTATGGCCGGCAGTAGCAGCAGCAGCGGCAGCAGCGGCAGCAGGAGCGGAGTAGTAGTATAGTATTGTTAGTAGTAGTTGAAGCTGTTAAAGGGAAACCCTTCCGCCACAAAAGGAAAGGGGTGGATTCGACTGGGCAAATTGGTGACAAAAACCAGGGACCTGGGAAAAGAAGAGGAAACGTATCCGTCCCCTTGCAAGGGTAGGGAGACAAAACTGGGCAAAAACCGAAACTCAAACCAGAAATCAGACATCTTCCTGGTGGAGAACTCCTTGTTACTCCCAGCTCGCTATGAGTTTCCCAGATCTGGGAACATGATCCAGGTGTCCTCTCTGAATCAAAGGGAATGAAGTGGAAGGGGCAAGCTCGGGGAGCTTCACATCTATCCGGCTGGAAAACATCTGCTCAGCTCGTCCATAAGAGCAATGATCAAAGTTTATCATGTGGGCCATGATCATGGTTTCCTCAAGAGGAACATTTACAATGGTGGTCTCAACCCCCTGAGAGGTTGACGACTATCCCAACCAAGCCCAAGTAAAAGGGTGTTTTGACCATATCGCATGAATGGCCCTGTCAAAACAAAACAAACGAACAAAAACAGGAAACTGTTCCCTCATTGGGTTGTAGTTCAAAGTTCTGTCACATGTCAAATGCATAGCCTGCATTGGGATTTCGTTCGTTCTCCCGAATTGGTGAGCTCGCTATAAAATTGGATATACCCCTGCAGTTTCAACAGGAAAAAAGCCTCCCAAAAAAGCTTGCAACTGAGAACGGTCAACATTGCATGTTTGCACAAAATGACATGGCCATATTGGTGAGTCCTCTGGTTTTTGCGGGACAATTTAGTGAGTCCCCCCATGTCCCTCCCAAATGGACCACAGACTACTGGACATTTTAACCACAACCTCGTGCTCCCCTGCAAGTTGACATGGAACCCCCACAAAAGGAAGGTAAACCCCAAAATTAAATGCAAACGCCTCCACCCATGGTATCCACAACTTCTCTTCCAGAACCCTCCCAGCCAGGTTTTATGTTGCTTGGGTGTCCATGCTAGTGTACCGGGGTTTCAGTGTTTGACCATCAGCCAAATCCCCAAACAAAGATTCGATGTCCTAAGCGACACCAGCCCTCTCACTGCAAGCTGGTACCCCATCCTCCGCTAACTCCTTGAGGGCCTGCATACCAGCCTTTGGCGCCTGCAACAGGCACAGCGCGTGGCGCAAGGAAACCGACGGCCAGTCAGGAACAGTACGCGGGCCAAATTTAAGACGGACTTTCAGAAAGGGGTCCCAAACAGGAGATGGATGGGTTCGGGGTTCCATCTCTAGTTGACAGGGTGCGCACCCCAACGAATCGGTAGCACCAATCAATCTGGGCGGCCGATTTAGTATTTGCAATCCCCATAACAGCTAATTCGGCTTGCGATAGATATTTGGACACATAAGGCCTTGAGGTTGCTGTGTTTGTCGTCTTTTCGTTTGTCAAGGGATCAGTATGACCAGGTTGGAATGCAAAAGCCATATAATTTGGGGGTTGTCAGGATCAACCCACTCTAGATCTTCTCAAGACTCTGGCGGGCCAAGGAGATCTAGCTTTACGGCCTCCATGGAGTCAGGACGCAGAAGCTGACTCTTGGGGTGTCCTGGAGGACTCATAATAGAGCTAGACTCTCTGGTAGGTTGGGTACAAAAACTGACTTCCTTGCGCGCACATTGTAGCTCAAGCAGAAGATTGAACTATTCATCCCCCCAGCGCAGAGTAGTCGTAGCACCTGCAATGCCCCCATGTCAAGATTCCAGCTCACAGGGTCCGATCTTTGTTCGGTTCGGCCGCCGAACCTAAGCCCAAGACTTGATGAGGGCAGTGAACTTGCAACGCGTGTGCGCAAACCATTTCTCAGAAGCCCAGTGCAAAAAACACAACAACAACAACCAGCACCTCTTTTTGGTTGGTTGATTTTAAAAGGAGCCTCTTCCCCCAAAGGAGAAACGACTGCCACTGGGCAAGTGGGATGCTTGTGCGAATGGCGGTGGCGCTGAATTCGACGTTTGCGTTCGTGTGCAGGCGGCATGAACTGCTCGGACACTAGTAAAAAGAAGCAACCAGGGTTCGAGTTCCAGTCAGACACCTTGGTAACCACAACCACCTTTGTTTGCAGCTCAGGCGTAACTCATCCAAATTGTGTCCCAAGTTGCCATTATTTCACTTAACTAAACTAGGGAGCATAGGGTGGTCTGACCATCCCGCCCGTCCGGCAAGTCTGGCCCCTTTGAATGGTTCCAAGTCCAGGCAGTTGCCAGGCAAACCAAACCCAGTGCTTGTAGTCTGCAGCTACCACAATTTTCTTGGTGGCTAGTGCTTTCCCTGTGTGACAAAGCGCAAAACACTTTCTGCTGATCAGTGGGACACACACACACACGCACCACGCAATCGCCCACACAAACACGAACACAAAGACAAGCACAAGCACAAGCACAAGCACAAGCGCAAGCACAAGCACAAGCACAAGCACAAGCACAAGCGCAAGCACAAGCACACACACACACCCACACCCACACCGACAAGCACAAGCACAAGCACAAGCACAAACACAAACACAGACGCAACCGCAAACACACACGCAAACGCAAACGCAAACACAAATACGCAAACACAAACGCAAACGCACACGCAACCGCAAACGCAAACGCAAACACAGACGCAACCGCAAACACACACGCAAACGCACACGCAACCGCAAACGCAAACGCAAACACAGACGCAACCGCAAACACACACGCAAACGCACACGCAACCGCAAACGCAAACATAAACGCAAACACAACCACAACCACAACCACAAAAACAAACACAGACGCAAACGCGAAAACGCAAACATAAACGCAAACACAACCACAACCACAAACACAGACGCAAAAAAACGCAAACGCAAACACAACCACAACCACAACCACAAAAACAAACACAGACGCAAACGCGAAAACGCAAACATAAACGCAAACACAACCACAACCACAACCACAAAAACAAACACAGACGCAAACGCGAAAACGCAAAAACGCAAACACAACCACAACCACAACCACAAAAACAAACACAGACGCAAACGCGAAAACGCAAAAACGCAAACACAACCACAACCACAACCACAAAAACAAACACAGACGCAAACGCGAAAACGCAAACATAAACGCAAACACAACCACAACCACAACCACAAAAACAAACACAGACGCAAACGCGAAAACGCAAAAACGCAAACACAACCACAACCACAACCACAAAAACAAACACAGACGCAAACGCGAAAACGCAAAAACGCAAACGCACACGCAAACGCACAACACAAAAACAAACACAGACGCAAACGCGAAAACGCAAAAACGCAAACGCACACGCAAACGCAGACACAAACACAAACACAGACGCAAACGCGAAAACGCAAAAACGCAAACACAACCACAACCACAACCACAAAAACAAACACAGACGCAAACGCGAAAACGCAAAAACGCAAACACAACCACAACCACAACCACAAAAACAAACACAGACGCAAACGCGAAAACGCAAAAACGCAAACACAACCACAACCCCAACCACAAAAACAAACACAGACGCAAACGCGAAAACGCGAAAACGCAAACGCACACGCAAACGCAGACACAA